TTTAACAAGTACTTTTCTCCCGCACGCAAAATTTCCTCATGTGTAGCTGATTCATTGTTAAAAAACTAATAATGAATCGTGTAGTTCTGGATGTGCTTGAACTGTTTTTAAATGTTTAATTTTCCCTTGTTGAAAGATAGCTGAAGTTGTATCACACCCACCAATTGCATGTACAAACAAAAAATAAGGAAGTTCAACTTTAAATTGTAGCAGTAAATGTTTTATAGAGTATGATCTAGTTTCCGTACTTCCTTTGCCTAGTTTTTTTTAAAAATAATCTGCGAATCATCTGGAGTTAACGTCAATAAAAGTATGATCAAATCTACGTCCTCTCCAATGACCACAACTTTTGTGTTATAATTTGATTTTTGTATTGCCGTATGTACAATAAGTGTGTCAGCATCGTCTTCTGCTTGTAATACGTAAATACCTGACTTCAATAATTTCCCTGTCGGCTGTCAACATTGATATCAGAAAAACTTATTTTTGTCATTTGATAGAAATGATTCTTGCGAAATAGTTATGTCCATCGTCTCTTCGATCAATATCCAAGGATAGTGATTTATAAGTAAAAGCATTGTAAAACCACCCTTTTGAAGGCGGGGGGGGGGGGTAGAAGGGTAAGCACGAAGGGTAAGCGTCAGAACTTCATATGCCAATATTCAGCTTTCGGTGAATTTTTATATTATGTTCGAACTTGGTTCGTTATATCAACCGTACAGATATAACACCGCCGCATCGTACATAACAACCACCTTAAATCTTATGGTAATGAATATAAAAAAAAATAAAAAAAAGTATATTATGTAAAAACAAAGGGCTATCATTTTTCTTATAGGTCATTTTGGTTTAAAACTATACATTTTGGCTAAAAAAAAATTTAAAAAAAAATTTAAAAAAAAAAATTCAGTTTTTTTTAAAAAAAAGTTTACTTAAAACTACCACGTTAAAATTGTAGTGATTACAATATTATATTCTTATAGTAAATTTTACGGTCTTTAATTTTGGTCATATACTTTTTTGTCGTAAGGTCAATGGTTAACGAGTTATAAGAAAAATAGTGGGAGGGTAGATTTCACCCCTTTTTGGGGGGTGGAGAGATACGCACAGGGGTTAGGCGTCAGGACTTTTAGTATGTCAATTGGGAAGGTACATTTTAAGTGTGTTCCAAAATTCAGTTGGGGGCGAATTTTTTCCGATCTTTTTCCTAATTTGACTGGACTAATACCCAATGGTTTTGAAATCTTCGCCATTCTCTCAAGCCGACTGAACTCCGAAAGTTGAAATACAACAGTTTTTAGTGTGCATAAATCATTGTTTGATCATCAGTTTGCAGTATAATTAAATATATATTTTTTTAAATTTTTTTTCCAACGTAAAAGGTTTTATCAGTTATTTTATTATTAACTTTGAATTGTTGTATTGCTATTTAAGTGTAATATTTGATATTAGGATTTAGGATTGCGTAAATAAAATTGTTTACAACAATATTATACAAATTAAAATTTACAGCGTAATATGTGTAACGGGCGTGCGGAAAAAAAAACCAAGGAAAAAAAACCACGAAAAAAAAAACCAAAAGAAAAAAAACCATGAAAATAAAAACCAAATTTCATATTTTGCTATCATATTTTAGGTATTCTGTCTGTTGTATAATAAAGAACAAAAATTAATGAGTTAGTTAATAAATCAGAAAATTACAAATAAATATTTTGTCAGTAGAATAGAATATAAGTATAAACTGTAAATAATTGTATAGGTACTATGTTTTAGGAAAGTATTGTTGGGGTGTGTGTATGTACCTATATGAGTGTGTATAAAATGTTTGCAACACATGAAGGGCTTGTCAATCTAACAAAGTCTTTGAGATGGTATATGGATGGAAACTTACTTTGCTTTTTTTTTTGATAAAGGTAGATAATCTTATAAGGAATCTTGTATTAGATTTTCAAATCTTATATTTAAAAAGAAAAATTTTTACGAATTCTTAACTCAAAATAATTTGCTAATTTTCGTGATTTTTCCATATTTTGCCAATTTTTGAACTTTAAATGCTTATAAAAAAAAACTGTGACAAACGATTTTTAATATTTTTCATCTGCCTTTGAAACAATATACTAGGAGCCTTCTATTAAATTTTCAAGTTTTTTTAACCAACAAATAAAATTTATTGATATTTCTAGAAATAAAACTAAAAAAAAATGTAAAAATGAAAATGTCCCTAAACAGTTCAAAATAAATCAAAATACTATGAAAATGTTATCGTGTATAGAAAATGCAAATATAAACAACCAGTGAAAATGTCATGTATCTACGGTCATTTGTTTTAAAGTTACAACAAAAACCAAATTCAATTTTCTGAAAAATAGATTTTGCGTAAAAATTCCCGTTTTTTCCTTAATTTTTCTTTTGTTTTTCTTGGCGCTTTTGAAAAGTACTGTGAATTTTAAAATTTGACCTCCCCAATGCACCATTGATATTCACTTTCCAATCGAACAAGATACTGAAGTCGAAAATCGAAGCATTATTTCGACTACTTAACGTGTACACAGACACAAAAATTAAAAATAAAAAAAAAATAAAATAAAAAAAAAACACACATCATTGTAAAATCAATACATTCATCGTTAGATTCACCACTCAGAATTTTACGAATTCTCAACTCAAAATAATTTGCTAATTTTCGTGATTTTTCCATATTTTGTCAATTTTTGAACTATTATAATATATAAGCTTAAAAAAAAAAATTGTGACCAAGGATTTTTAATATTTTTCATCTGCTTTCTCAACCAACAAATAAAATGTTATTGATATTTTTAGAAAAAATCTAAAAGAAAATGGAAAATGAAAATGTTCCTAAACAGTTCAAAATAAATCAAAATATTTTGAAAATGTTATCGTGTATAGAAAATGCAAATATAAAAAACCAGTGAAAATTTCATGTATATACGTTCATTTGTTTTAGAGTTACTCTAAAAACCAAAATCGATTTTTTGGAAAACCAATTTTGCGTAAAAATTCTAGTTTTTCCTTAATTTTCATGTTGTTTTTCCCGGTGGGCGGGGCTTGTGAAAACTACTGAGAAATTTTTACTTTTGACCCCCCAAAGTACCAACTCAATTCACTTTCCTATCAGAAAAGATACTGTTGAAGAAAATCCAAGCACTTTTACTGTCCTAAAACGTAATGACAGACACAAAAAAAATTTAAAAAAATTAAAAATTAAAAAAAAAAAACACACATCATTGTAAAATCAATACATTCATCGTTTCACTCAGAATCTAAAATAAGTACAGTTTAATTTTTAATGATTTGCTAATATTTTATGAAACAATTGAAATAATTGAATAATTTATTTTTTGGGAACTATTACAAGTTTTGCGAGGGCGAATCCCCTCCCCCCTTTTAGTTGTGCTTATCATTATATTGTATTAGGTAATTTTATTAGGTCCTAAGAACCTAACTAGTAAGGTCTTGCCTAATAATTGATTTATAATTGTATAATTATTCTACTAATCTACTATAAAAATTAACAGTTGTAGGTATACTATAGTAGTATAATTTAAGGTATTTTGAATAATATCACAAATTTTTGTAAAACACAAAACATATTCAGTGAAACTTAATCTGTGATAGTAGTATAGTAGGTAGGGTAGGTACTATCTTAAATCATGGAACGTGTTACGTGTATAAAATCATATACAGGATAACAGTGTATTACCTATATTATGAAAACTAAGCATAATAACTATTACTATTAAACATGTTTTCACAAAAATGTAAGTAATATGTAATTTTAGATGTAGATATGTAGTATTCATTATACTCTTATAATTTTTACAAATTATTTATATTGATAGACCCATATTAATTACTAAAATGTTCAAATTATCTAAGCCCTAACCCCTACTTAACTCATTACTATAGACATATTTTTCTTAATACACAAAGTTATATAGCTCAAAAACTACTTTGCTAAATAATTAAATGTGAAAAAGGCATTACTATTTGAAAAACAGAGAAGTTTGTATTGTCACAGAATCATCCTTAAGTGGTACAAAAAATCTCAAGTATTTGAAAATAAGATAGTGATTTTTAAAAATTTCTGAATCGTTTAGCTCATAGGGCCACATAATGACAGAATGTTTTCTAGTGAATGACATATGAATTATCTTCTATGAAAGTTGAATATTGAACCATTTTTTTCTCCTTAAAAAATTAATTACAAACACAACAGAAGAATAGATAATTTTAAGACCCATACGTTGTCAGTATTTAAAATTTTAATGTTGTAAAAAATATATAATACAGTGGTAAAAATATATTCTTAAATCAAGCACAATTTTATTGTCTATACTCTATACCAATATGAACCTAAATAACAATTTATTATGATACATATTTCGTATTTACATTATTTAAATAGATAATTTAAAAATACTCACATTGAAAGAGTAAAAATTATACTTCTAACTTTTTGATGATAAAATAAGTATTAGTGGCCAAGCGGACTAAGTCATCGGTTCAAACTCGGCCACGGTTTTTATTTTTATTCAGGCAGTCACGGTGTCCGTAGAGAGGCCGCCATCCCCCACACAGGCATGGCAGATACTTATGGTTGCCCTCTTAAATAATTCTGCCAAAACAAACCCACAAGTGTTCAAAACCTACAGTACCCTCCCCACAGCTCCACAGGCTAATGACCTGTTGTCAAAGCCTCAAAAAAATAAATAAGTACCAGGTATTCAATCATAAAAAATATGATTTACTTTTTAATATAAAATATGTTATTTATGCTATATTTTATAATATAATGCTACCAAAAATATTTCTTTTTCCATTTTACCTAATGACTGCTAATATTACAACAGTTTTAATGATAACGTACATATTTAAATTTGCAAATAATATATAATTTATTTAAACAAATGTAAGTATTATTATAAGTTATGTCGAGAATTTTAGTTATTTACTTAGTAATTATAATACGTATTTATTATTTATTGTTGATTATTCTTAGGTGTACAACTATTAAACAGAGCTTCTTTAATTGTTTGAGACATTAATCCACATAATATTTCAATTGTAGCTTTATTACTATCTTTTGTAGCTTTTACCAATTTATTTTCAGTTTTAGTACGATCAACAGGCTCAAAAAATGTACGACTCAGAGAAGTGTCTGCTTGTTCTAGCTTATCGGAAAGATCATTTATTTGACCAGTTAGGTAATCAGCATTGGTTATTAAACTGGACGAGCTTAAAGTGTTCACCCAATATTTATTCCATAGTGAATCTAGTAAACGTCGATCCAGGGAAGATTTGAAATAGTTTACTTCCAATGAATAGTATTGTTTACAGTGTACTCCAAAATCTTCAATTTTATTCAATGGAATAGTTTGATACTCAGACGGTTCTTCATTTGCTGGCTTGTAACCCTATACATTTTAATTATGTTTTGAATAGTATTATAAACGAAATTGATATAAAAAGATTAAATATTAAACAACTTATAAACTTGCCTTAGGATAAGTACGGAATGCCCCCAAACAAACTTTGCCAGCAGAAATTGTTCTAACTGGATCAATCACAATTGCTACAAAAGGTTCTTGAAAATTTTGATTCAACATTTGTGTAGAAACATCAATACCTGATAACCAGCATCCATAGCCAGGGTGGCTATGATACCAACCAATCGCATTTTCTTGACGTCCCACCTAGAAAAATTTAATTATTAAATTAGATAAATTCTAATAATTATGAATAACTATTTATCAGGTGTGTAACTAAAAAATCAAAGAATAAATTATATTAATAATATGCCAAACAATATTTTTAAATTAAAATCAATTGTAACATAATATGGTAGTCTAAGAAAAATATCAAAAAAGATATTCAAATATTTTATTTTTATTTAATGAGCAAGGTACATAACTTTATGAATATAATATAAGTAGTACTTGACATTACAAGGTTACTGGATAAGCAATTATTTATATTTTTTTATAATTAAAGGGTGGTAAAAGATATATTATATAGCATGTTACTTAAATATTAAATAGTAAAAACTCTAATGAAGTATGAATGAGGCAGCCCGGACATAAATCTATTAATTGTAGCTTGTTACAATCAACTATATGTACTACAATGTTGTTTTCTGGGATCTCTTTTGATGCTCTTATGCTTACTGTACTTTGTCTGTTATAGTGTTACTCCAATTTTTATGAAATAAAAGTAGAGAGCACAGCTCAAAAAACAAAAACCGATGTCTTCACTAACAAATAATTTAATTCAATTAAATTGCCCTTTTTTGGACACTTATTACACTACTGTTTCTATTTTACATTTTTATATTTTTTTTATCAGACCTGCCAAATAAAAATAATGGGACAAAAATTATTGGTACCACTTTTTAGGCAACACTTGGTCATTTGTCACTGTATATATAATTTGAAATCAGTTTTAGCAATAAAATAATATAATATGTAAGTAATCCCATGATGACTATACTCGGTCCAGTAAGAGAACAAGTCGCTTTTGTGAATGTAGACTGACAGCAGAGCATGAGCTTATCAGCATAGCTGGGGTCTTATTTCTCCCTACTGCACACGTAGCCAATTCCAACCAACGCTGTACGATTATAGCCTTTGCCGATGGGGTGATCTTGGTGAGAATGATTGGTCAGGCTGGGTGACGTAAGAGGCTACACAGAACAAACCAATTTTCATTGGGCCGTGGTGTATTCCCTCCCTGGACAGATATAGAATAAGAAGACCAAACTGAATTCACTTAAAATGTCTCATAAAGATTTGCATGGTTTAACACAGGGCTTAAAAACGTTTTTATAACATTATGAGTATATTAAAACATTTCAAAAACGATTGAAATCAATAACGGATAACATATCGGTTAACGATAAACGATTGAAACGAATAACAGTTAACCTACCAGCAAACGATAAACAATTGAAAACGGAAAACGGATAACGAAACAGAAACAATAAACAATTGAAACATAATATAATTGCCTGAAAAAAAATATATTTATAAAATTATAACTATCAGTAAAATATAATATGTTATGGTTATTTTTATTATATACTTTTCAATCATTCTGTTTTGTGTAGGAAACAAGACAACGCTAAACACTTCATAACGTTTAAACGCTTAAATTGAATATTGTTTAAATTCTTTATAACGTTAAACAGTAATTCGATCATAACGGTTAATATCCATATAACGGTAAACGGTATTATTATTTTTGATTTAAGCCCTGGTTTAATAGCAACAGGATGTATTGCGATCGCATCCCTTGATGCTTTAACCTTTAAAGTATAAGAATAATTTATATATTTTTTCCATTTTTGAAAAATATTTGCTATATTTTGAACTATTCAACCAAAGTTTATGATACATTTTATGGTATTAATTATAAATCAATATGTATATTATAGATTATATTATGACAGTGTAAAAAGGGTTAAGGTGAACTGTATCAATACCATATAATTTCACCTGAAATATTTTACTTAATACTAATTAATATAGTGATGTGACATAATAACAATATTATCATTTATAAAAATATGTATTTGTGTAAAACTTATAATTGTTCTACAACATACATTTATATTTATTTGTATTAAACAATCCATTCAATTTAGTGTAATAAGCATAAATTATGTTTAAGATATTTCAATATTTGTAACAAGGTGACTTTAGTGGTAAAGTTGTTCACTAATGAGTGACAACAAGAAGTATTTTTACAAACATCTCTGACTCATATGACAAAATATAATTCAATATTATACTCAACTTAAACTTACTACTTTAGCAGATTCAATGTATGCCGTCATGTACTCATAGGCTTGTGCTTGGGCATTGACTCTTGTTTCTGTTCCTTCAACAGGTAAAGCAAAAGAATCCATGACAATCATAGTATTACCTTCAACTTTGCCAAGTAATAGACCCATTATTTCCAAAATACCACCAGATCGAGCATGCATCACCATTTTTAGTAGAGCTAATGCGGATATTTTTATATCTTTAAAATAATGTGGACTGAAAAATTTAACAATACTTATATCAATACAAAATATTACAACAACTATATAATACATTTGGTGTAAGGGATGGCTTGCGGGAGCTGAGGCTTTAGACTTTTAAATTATAAAATATTTATTTTAAAAAAAATTAAAAAAAATTCTTCATAGGTAAGTACGACTTATGTCATAATATTAAATATTAATTTGTTAAAACTAATGATGAAGAGCCACGGTTCTATGAGGAATTTAGAATTATAGGACCCCTTTTAGAGGTCTAGTTGCGATTAATGATGATACCACTCCTTTTTTTCTACTGTAAATTATTTAGCAAATTTTTCTGAAAATGTAGACAAATGAAAATTATAGTTTGAACTTTTGAGTTATTTAACTTTGTGAATTAAGGATAACAGCTCCATGGTAATGGGTTTGAGTAATATTGCGGCTATAGAGATTACTGATTAGAAATTTGTATTAATTAATATTAATCTATCAACATTTATAAATTGTAAAAAAGGTCCAAGTATAAAAAAATAATAAATTCAAAACAACATATTTTAAAATTTTAGAAGATGACTATTTTTAGTACAAAAAATTTCATAAGTGATCAACTACTAGTTTGAATTTTGAATTAGACACATCAACACATTCAAAAAAATTATCCACTAAACAATTTTATTTATTTATTTTAAAAACAGAAGTTTGTACTATCACAATTTACAGGACACCACTCTAGTATCAGAATCTCAACAATAGTATATTTAAAAATTCTATAAATCTGAATAAATAAATTATTAAAATAAAATAGGAGTGAGCAAACCTACTTAGTGAATCACACTTTATATGCCAGATCATTATAAATCAATTATTATAATTTATAAAAATAAAATATGGACTTACTCTTTCTCCCAAGGTTTAGCAGTCAAAATATCCTGTTGTTGTTGTTTGTCATATTTGAATATGTCGTCGACTGTATTAACGGTTTGCACACTGTTTTCCAATTCCCATGTCTTTTTGGCAATGATTTCTTGGGAATCTCTTGATGTAGACGCCATGTTAAAGAATCACCTAAACATGAACATAATTAAATCATACATTTTGCTTATATAGAAAGCCAAGATCATAACAAACGTTTTTACTTTTAAGATATCTAATGTCTAGCGAATTAATTGGAATAGTCTGTGGATTAGGTACTTCTTAAAAATGATGAACCTTATCAACCGGAGCTAAAGATATCTTTCAAGTTATAACCAATAACCATCAGATTTGTAAATTATGTTTTTGACTTTTCGTCACACCATCGAGTACTAAAAAGTAAGAACTTGCCTCAAAGTTCGAACTATCTAATATCTAGTATCTACTAGCTACTGACTACTGACGGTGTATTATTTCTTCTTTGTATATTATGCTGGTGACTGGTAATCTTTTATCTATGGACTGGTCACTGACAGCCGGTGAACCTACCATGAACTACTACACAAGACTTGTCATTGGATGTGGATGGGTAGGAGGACCATAGACATAATATTAGTCATAGACAATCTATGATATTGGTACAATGGTACATAATATTATGTCTATGAGAAGGACGGCCACAAAGACAAAGTTTTCCATAGATAATAGATTATCTATGAAGTTTTCATACAATAAAACATACAATAATCTATGGTTTTCATTTATTATCTGTAGTTGTGCAATGTACGTTATCAGCAGGAATGATATACACGTGCGACGCAACGCCATCTGTGATTTAAGAATTATTTTGTCATATACGTAAAATACCGCCTTTTTAGATTCTGAGCGGAGCGATTAATGTATTGGTTTTACAATGATGTATGTTTTTATATTTTAGATTCTGAGTGAAACGATGAATGTATTGATTTTACAATGATGTGTGTTTTTTTTTTATTTTTTTATTTTTTTTTAATTTTTAATTTTTTTTTTATTTTTGTGTCTGTCATCACGTTTTAGGACAGTAAAAATGCTTGGATTTTCTTCATCAGTAGCTTTTCTGATAGGAAAGTGAATCTAGTTGGTACTTTGGGGGGTCAAAAGTATAAATTTCCCAGTAGTTTTCACAAGCGCCGGGAAAAACAACATAAAAATTAAGGAAAAACGGGAATTTTTACGCAAAATTGGTTTTCCAAAAAATCGATTTTGGTTTTTGGTGTAACTCTAAAACAAATGAACGTATATACATGAAATTTTCACTGGTTGTTAATATTTGCATTTTCTATACACGATAACATTTTCAAAATATTTTGATTTATTTTGAACTGTTTAAGGACATTTTCATTTTCCATTTTTTTTTAGTTTTTTTTCTAAAAATATCAATAAAATTTTATTTGTTGGTTGCGAAAGCTTGAAAATTTAAAAGAAGGCTCCTAATATGTTGTTTCAAAGGCAGATGAAAAATATTAAAAATCCTTAGTCACAATTTTTTTTATAAGCATTTAAAGTTCAAAAATTGACAAAATATGGAAAAATCACGAAAATTAGCAAATTATTTTGAGTAAAGAATTCGCAAAAATTTTTCTTTTTAAATCTAAGATTTGAAAATGTAATACAAGATTACTCATAAGTTTGTCTACCTTTATCAATAAAAAAATCTCTACCGGACAGTCAAGTTAAATTTTTATGAGCGTTTGAAATTCAAATTTTTACAACATTGGATATTCACTCGATTACTCATGTAGCGATTTCTTTATTTTGTTGCAATTCAAAAACGAACAACTGTAGATACATGAAAATTTCACTGAATGTTTAAATTAGCATTTTCTATACACCATACAATTTTGAAAATATTTTGACTCTTTTTGAGCTGTTTATGGACATTTACAGCTTTCAATTTTTTTAGTTTTTTTTTCTATAAATATCAATAAAGTTTTATCTGTTGGGCCAAAAAGTGTAAAAATTTAATACAAGGCTCCTGATATATTGTTACAATATCAGTTGAAAAATATTAAAAATACATAGGCACGATTTTTTTTTATAAGCATTTAAAGTTGGAATTTTGACAAAATTTATCAAAATCTCGAAAATTATCAATCGTTGGAATTAAAAAATTATAAAATGTTCAGTTTTTATAACTAAGAGTTGAAAATTTAAAACAAAGATTCTCTTAAATAATTCATACTGTAACCAAAAAATCTAAAAAATATATAAACACACTTATTTTTTACAGACATTTTAATTTCAAATTTAGACAAAATTTCATATTTAAACCAAGAATTACGATTTTAGTAGACTGACATACTGTCTCCGCTCAGAATCGTTTTTCTTATACAATGATATTATATCATTGAATTCAAGTTTAATACCATCCATTATACAGTGACCCACTTGTAACCTACAGTACAGCAGAGCGACATCCACTTCCCCACCTTTTTTAAATTGTATACATTTTCTGAATAATATTATGATCTTCAAAAAGTTAAATACATTTCTATAGATTTGTTCAGGAGTTCATTTCTTTAGTAATCACATAGATTAGTAGAAGTTAGATGTATTAGTTGTATTCAATTAGGTGGTATAACATACTTTTATTGCAGTATTATAAGTTTATACCCAAATAATTCTCTTACTCATTAACTGCACAATTTGTTAAAACTTTGAAAAATCTTATTACTACCTTATTATTACTTTTAAAATAAAATATAAATAATTTATCATCATTGTTTTATATTTCATCACTGTTTTCCTTATAAATATTAGTGTTCATTGTCTTAATTTGTTCACTCTTTTTAAGCAGTATCTCTGTGTGCATAAAGGTGATTTCGATATCTCATTGACTGTATTTTTAAGTCTCGAATTTGACATCGCATAACTACTACTATGTAATTTTATATAGATGTTATAAAAAAAAAGAGTTTATAATTATATTCTCTGAGATGTCACAAAGTGATTTCTATGCGATTTAAATTTGAAATAACAAATAGAAATTACTATTCAACTACTATGGGTGTTATTATATGCGGAGTCGTATCGATCCATCAACTAGATAGAATTGTCGAATGCGATATCCCAGAGGTATCTTGACATCTCGTCGTTGTGAGATAATCATCGACAAATCTAAAAATAGAAACTATAAAAAACCACAACCTTATTAGGTAGCTTATTGTGTAATCATCGAGACATCACAAAATTTAATATAAATACATCTTATTGTAACTCCATTAAATTATTGTATCATGTATCAAGATCCCATTTTATCTTGCTTAATTAAACAATTTTATTTTAACATTAAAAATCTTAATTCTTCAAAATTAATTGACATGGACTGTTTAAAAATTAAATGTTTATATATACCAAGATGTAGCAAATCCATTACCATAACTCTACTTCATGAATTATAAAACATGATATGAGTACCTGCCTTATTTCTATAATATATTAAGGAACAATAATAGGTACCTAACTTACTATTCTTACGTTAGCTCTTAAGTTATACCTACTAAGGTATAATAAATAATAAATAATCGGATTTATTTATGTTAATAACTAATCATTTCTGTACCTAATTTAAAGTTTTAATAATACCTAAATATTAATAAAGAATTTAATTTTGTTAAAAATTGAAATTAATACCTACTTGTTTTATTTTATTTATGTATATGATTGTATAAACTTGCATAAATTTAGTTTGATAAGTGACAACCAAATTATTATAACTACATAACAAACTAAAAATAAAGTTGATTTCATTAATTACCTACTTGGCTACTTACTGCATGTTGCTTGGTAATAATCAGTACTTAGTAAGTAGGTGACAGATAAGTTTTATAAGTTTATGCCTACCCCTACTTTATTGAACAAAGTATAAACTAGAAGTCTATAAATCATAAGTATACCCATACTACTATAAACTATTGTTGTTTGTAATACATTCATATTTCATTATAATACTTATACCACGTACCAAACACCCGAATATTACCTAATATAGTAATACCTATACGAGTCTAAATACACTATATTATTTCTGATGAGGTATCTTGTTAGTGTGTCCCTGTAGGTAAGGCGTAGCCGCGTAGGTCATTTAAGTTATGGGTAATAGGGTTCGATCCCGACTTAGGACGTTGGTGTGTGGTTTGATAAGACTTGAATATTTATTTCCTATTTTTCCGGACTTCACTTTGTGTACTCTCAGCGAAGTCGGTACACTGAAATAGGGAAGTCTCGTGTTACTCTATCTGATTGATATGAAAGTTACAATATGACGAAACATAGAACATTGTTATGCGACATCGCGTTCAGTAACTTCACAGGTAGGGATATTATAACGGTGCCTACAACATCTCCGCTATACCCATAGGTACTAATATTAAACTTCACATTTCGCAAAATAACTGCTATATAACATCACTGAGAATCTTTTTTGCACACAGGGTAATTATATTTTGATAATATCCTATATTTCTATAAATAGTATCATAATACAATTATCTTGAACCTTGTTATTAATAATTATTTTTCAAAAATTAAAAAGTAAAATTTAACTTGATCAAAATTGTATCAATTAAAAACGGATCTTAAATGTAGTGTGTAATTGTGTGAAGAGTAATAATACTAGTAATCTTACTACTGAACACATATAACTTTATTTTAAATTCCAAAAAAAGCTGGTTAGTGGATGTTGCTCTGCTGTACAGTAGGTTACAAGTGGATCGTGGGCACGGACTAAGATATATATCTTAGTCCGTGGTCGTGGGTCAATGTATATAATGGATTATAATAAATTTGAATTCAGTGATATAATATCATTGTATATTTGTTATTTGTATAAGACAAACGATTATGAGTGGAGTCGGTTTGTCAGACTGGATATTTTATATTGTTATTATTTATTATAGCCTGTTAATTGAATTAATATTATAATATTATTATTATTTATTAATTTCTATGGTGATAGAAATTAAAGAAGAAATAAATTCCCATTTTTAGCGGTTTTTTGTAATTGGTCGGTGGTTTTTCCAGTGGCATTAAATAACTATTGAGAAAATCAAAAAATGACCTCTCTAAAGTACCATATTGTCCCAATTTGCTAAAATATAAG